TCGTAAAGTGGACTTTTTGAGATAGGTGCGTGTTTACCGAGTTTAGCCATTGATATTCTTCTCTAACGAATATTTGCTTGGAGAGCTTGATTACCGTTTGCCTCGAAAAACGCCATGAGGAGGCGCCGGTTGAGGCATCGTCGGCGGCGGCCACCCCCACTGCCACTGCTGCTGAGGCGGAAGATGCTGCTGCTGCTGCTGAGGCGGAGGTTGCTGCTTCTGCAGCCGGGCCTGTTGAAGGTACCAAGCTCCCAACGATGGAGTTTCTTTCGGTGGCGCAACCCCCAATTTATTATAGTCGTACGGCCGGAGATCTTTCTTACCAGTTAAGAGCCTTTTAATCCATCTCTTCCCTCTATGGAGCAACCAGAAGGCATTTCCCCCGTGAACATGCCCGTTTATCACGGGTTTGTGTGTAGCTACGTTGGTGATTCCGTTTAGGGCGTCTCGCTGCAGGTTATTACTAGCCTGATGTACGCGTTGTATCACGGGGCTCAGGTTGGGCACGGGAATATGGACTTGTACGATGGCGGTCCGCGCTGCTCGCGGTTCCAGACGATTTCCTGCCTCAGGTTCCTGACTGACTCCCTCCTGCTCCGTTGCAGTTGGAGTTTTTCCGGGCTTCAGCTCAACCCTTTGTCGCTCGATTGTAAATCCGACTTGTTGAACCGGGCTAGCGTCCATACGCATCTGAAGAAAGGAGGAATGTTAGAGAATCAGTAGTGAACGTATATAAATCAGCCTCCATAGCAACCTGCGGGCTGATTATTGAAATAGAGGGGCTTGGAGGACAAGGCGTATAAGTGCAGGTTTTGCTGTTTTGAGAAATACGTGTTTGAAGCACTGGCGCGGCGCAACTTGGTGCGAGCAAGAGAACCTAGGGCGCCTTCAAATTTTTTCATGCAACACGCGCATCCATGGGGTACGAATAGTTGCATCCAGGCGCTATGATCAACTTTTGACTCCTTTCGCGCATCTGTGGGCTGCAAAAGTGAGGGAAATGGAGAACAGATCGATGGTGAAGGTGAAATTACCATACCACGTATCTCGTTGCGACTTTACATATCTCCTATCACATTTCACTATATAAAGAAGGCCTAATTGAGGGGCTTGGAGGGCATAAGTGCAGTTTTTTCTACTTCGAGAAATACGTGTTTGAAGTTTCGAAATTACATGGATCCTCATGGCGGAAAGAAAGTTCAAACTGACTTTTTGATGCTTACAAATTGGAATTTGCGAGCGAATTTTTCACAGATATACATCAAGACTAATTTTACTTGAAATCTTTAAAAGCTCAATTTTTTCAAGAACTGCACTTATGCACCTTGTCCTCCAAGTCCCTCGACTGATAGACAAGATTGACGAAGAGGCTTATTGCTTTGTCAAAAAACTTCAATTATTGATGCGTCGGGTGCAAAAAGGGCATTTTTGGTTGCGGTGTTTCAGAATCTCGAGTGCTAATTTTTATTTTAGAGAGGGAACTGTCGGATGAATTTTCTGGACTTTAACGTTTCAGCAGTGTGAAATCATGGAGGATATTCAGTAAAAGTTAGAAAAAATTACATCAATTTTCTTTTCAATTTCTTTTCTTCAATTTTCAAGTTTGACCGTCTGAATTGCGGACTTTAGAGTTTTCGTGGAACCCAGTTCCGTGCTCTCTACACCTAGAAAGAAAATATATACGGAGAAAAAAAGTTTGTGCGTGGGACCCGAAGTTGAGGTCATATGGATCTCTGAAGGTTTCGGATCACGTATCTGAAAACTTGAGGTCCAGCTGTCGAAGTTCGGGTCAGACATCTGAGGTACTTCGACATTTGCCGAAAGGTTCGGGTCACACATCTGAAGTAGGTACTCCGATATTTACCGAAGTGCCTCGATGTCTGACCCGAACTTCGGCAGCTGGACCTCAAGTTTTCGGATGCGGATCTGGAAACTTCAGAGATCCATATGACCTCAACTTCGGGCCCCATGCACGAACATACCATGTATGAACCGAACCTTTCGGTCAAAATTACCTTCAGATCGCTGTTCGGTTCCAGCTCCGAGCGGGTGTCTTCTTGCTCAACCAGACCAACCGCAGACGTCATCGAATCAGTTGCTGCCCCTCTGTCAGGGTTCCAACTAGTTTGCTCCGTCCACAATTCAAAATCCGGTTTCAAACTCTCCCTCTCTGGTTCCGCTTGGATTTTTTCGGGTTCCACTAGGAACCCCAGGGTTCCTTTCAGCCCTCCGATCTCAGACACGCCCGTCTGCCTCAATGCTTCTCCGGCTTCTCGGGGCTTGGTTCGTGATCCGGCTTCATGCTGTTTAGCTTCCGACTCGACGGATTTGTTTCCGGATATTGCTGAGTGTCCGATTTCCACGGTTAGCGGGTCGTTGCGAAATACATCCGCGTCGGGGAGAGTTTGTGGTGTCCCCTCGCCGGTATCGGAGAGCGTTTCTGGAAGACGAGCGATTGACTCTGATGCTGGATGACCGCGAGTCTGTTCGGAAGGGAAATATGATAACCAATAGCCTCAATATATGTGCGATTTTAGAAATTAAGATTAGAGTCAAAACTTAGCCAATCTACTCTATATAAAAGGTAAGCTCAGATAGCCGCAACACTGAAAAAAAAAAAAAAAAAACACATCGGATCTAGAGTCCAGACTCTTAAAAAACATCGACGAGAAAAAATACTCTTGATTCAATCAGATTTAAGCTTAAATCAAGAACCTAGCCTCTTAATTTGAGCTTAAATCAGACTGAATCAAGAGTATTTTTTCTTGTCAATGTATTCAAGAGTCTGGACTCTAGATCCAATGTGTTTTTTTTTTTTTTTTTTTCAGTGAACGCCTGAAATCCTAACCAATAAAGCTGGGGGCGTACCCTGACCCCTAGTTTCAGTAAAATCTGATAATTGTTTTCAATGTAAAGGCCGCCAATCTTTCGGATTTTGGCTACTGTGTCAAGTGCGTACATGAGTGGAACTATTAACTTTTTGTGGAGGCGGGGGGCAGAGGGACACCTACTCAAAGAAAGTCTGGGTGGCACCAAAAAGCACCCCATCAGAGGGGTCATTGGGGCTCCTTTAGCTCTTAAGGAGGGTTGGGGGGATTTTCCGAACTCCTAAGGGGGGTCTGGGGGTTTTCTTTAGCTCCAAAAGAGGGGCCGAGATCTTCGGGAAAAATGTGTAAAATTGAATAGTCTCAGAAGCAATTTTGAGCGGTTCTCGCCAGTGGCGTGGCGTGCTTTGCGATATATCGATTGTTATGCCATTTAAACCTATAGAAAAGGATCGATAAACAGGGTGTTCGCTGCAAATACCTTAATAATCGATTCTTTACCATAGGTTCAAATGGCATATCAATCGATATATCGCAATTCACGCCACGCCACTGGTTCTCGCTAAAAAAATCGATCGAATTACAATTTTAAAAATAAAAGTAGTGTGACGCATTCTTTCAGCAAACCCCCTCCCATTTTTTGGAAGAAGCCAAATAGATTTGTGGGAGGGGAAGGCCCTCCCATGGGTGGGCCCAAATTACTCTCATGAGTGCGCATACAAAAGCATTTGACAGGATCATGTCCGCATCGTCGAGATTTGTTCTTTGCGTATTGAAACAAAAAACTCCAGTAAAAATGGAACGAAAGGGCAAATGCCCATTACGGCCTCTCGTAGAACTGAAATTAAAAATGCTCGAACAAAAAGTTTCTACGTGTTGAATTTCATTTTTTAGCATCATGACCTTGAGACTCTGATTCAGTTTTTAAGCAGTTGTATCGCATAATGAAGGTAGCACTGGATGATCGAAGTTAGGAGTCTACTCCTATCGTCGCGCGCCCGACTCTCACTCTCTAATTTTTCGACGGACTCGATATAATTTGATTACGAGCGCAAGATTTGCTTGTTTTCCCCTATATAGAATGAAAAATCAATCATTAAAGTGCCAAAACCACATAATTCGGTTTGAATTCATGCAAATCTTCTAACACATTTGAATTTTCTAAGGTGGGCCTTATTATCCTTTTTGCACACAATGTCTTCGGGGTTTTCCTCGCCATGTCTATAACGTAATCTTGAAAGGACCCTATGCACGGACCCCCCAAAATCGCCCATTTCAAAAGTTAACGAAATTCATACCAGTGATAGAGGGGCACTTCCGGCCTCCAAATCCGGGTTTGGTTTAATGCCCAGCCCCCCGAGTGCGACGTTGCCATTTTTTGAACTCCCCTGTTTCATGTAATATTCAATAGGACCTGAACCGCTACGGTGAACATTGAAGGCATGTATCTCGCGACAAAATTGTTTCCTCGGAAAAACCAATATACCGTTTTTTTTTTTTTTTTTTTTTTTTTTTTTTTTTTTTTTTTTTTGTTTAAACGGAAGTGAAAATCTGCTTTCTCCCGCACTGGATTGAGGGGGAACCAGATCCGTGGACCCAGCGTGGACCCCCAGATCCGGCGGGCCCCGAGGGGGAGGTTCCATCCCCGCCCCCGAGTACCAGATGCCAATCGCGGCCCAGACCGAGTGGAACATCCCCGGGCATTGCTGCCCGAAGACCTCGGCCCGAGAGTGTGACTGGGTATGTGGGTTTGGCCCATGACGGTGGGCCCGCCAAACACTAACGACACTCCCCTTGAGATGCATCCGCTCTACGCATCCCCTTTTGTCCGAGTTTGCTTCCCACCCGACGGTCAACCTACGGTCATTACCTCGTCAGGCGAGAGGGCCCCCCGCAACAGTGTCCAGCCGGGCCCCCATCCTCATAGGAGCACCCCGATGCCTCCGGCGTACCTAACCCCCGCCAGGAGGAATTTAAACCTCCCAGCAGCTCTGAGGATGGGAATCCGTACCCCAAGGGGTCCGTCAGCACTGGAACCTCTGAAGCGGAAAGGTTACCTCCCGTGAGTGTGTGGGGGATTCCAGGTGGCCCCCGGCCAGGACTCCGAGGAGTCCTGTGTTACGCCGGCGCTCCAAGTCCTACCCACTCCACCCATAGGACCCAGACTTTGCGGCGCCCCTCCCTACAAGTAGTGAGGGGCGCGGCCGGCCATCCCCGTCCGAAGCACTAGTCAATTTGACTTGCCCCTCCGGTCCAGCCCGCTTTCAGCCCCCGCCAACCACCAGGGACGGATGCGCGGACTCAAGGTCCGCATTCCGAGATCCTGGGGGGCGCGGGAATCACGGAACCAGACACGTCAACGGTTCCGCTTGATCTGTACGCCGTGGATCAGACAGGATATGGGCAAACAACCGAGGACGCAGGCACAAAGGGGCGGCGACATCAGGGGATGCCAATCCCACCCTAAGGTGGGGGGAGAGGCCCGAGAAAGTCACCTAGGTGGCAATCCACGGGGTCAGAAGGGTAACCGACTATCACTAGCAATTTGCCGGCTAACTCGGGTACGGGGGAGCGTCAGACCCCAGATCCACAGACAGATCCCCTGCGTTAACAAGGGGAGGGGAAGAGAAATCTCTACCCCTCCCCCTAACAGGCGCTTAAAAAGGAAACCAGCACAAAGACTACATTAGACACTGCACTCAACTAAATCACGATACAACTCACCCGATAACGCCTTATCAAGCCGAGGGAGCCCCGGTCGTTGAAAGGGCCCGCAGGGCCGTCTCACTTTGCACGTGTCGACTGTCGTTTCCAACACACCACTTTCTCACCAAATATAAAATAAACAGCATAAAAAGGGCAACTATAAGAAAACTATGTACAGTTAGTGAATCTATCTGAAGATAAACGTTTCCGTTTTTCTCCGAGTAGGTATTTTCAATACGATTGTCTAAGATGCCCATTTCGAGAGACTTAAGCACACTGCACACGCACATCACTTTACTCACTCACAATCAGAGAACCCGAAACAGACCATGATAAGAAAACTTGGAGTGGTGACTCACCACGCATTACTCACTACTTGTTTACATAACAAAACCGCACAGGAGCAATTAAAGCTCTCCGTGAGGAACGAAAGTCAAAGCGGAAGTCGCAATCTCTAGCGAGCACCCCCGAACATTACTGTAAATATTTGTAAATATGTATAGAAGATAATGTAAATACACATAATGGTCCAACCGTGGAAGGGAGCAAAATCCTTACGGGTAAAATCTCCTGGTCTCCCATGATCCGACCACCCTCAAAAGTATTATGGGTAGTCAGAAACATGTACAATCAGAATACAAACCAACTTAACCTAAATTTATGTTCTGACCAACCATAATTCGTCTGGACACATAATCGTGTCTCTTCTTTGATAGAACTGTCTCCGCAAAAACTTCAAAGGCCCGCCAGAACCTGCGCTCCCCCAAGAGAACCCCAATATACCGTTGGAAAGCTCATACAAAGGGCTTTCATTACATGTAATTTTCATTTTCCTATGTGCGTGCGCAGTACTGATTTTTTGAGGTGCGAATGACGGGAGACCTCAAAAAGTACGCCAAGTCGGACTATTTAGAGGCCTGTATTTCGCGATAGAATCGTTTCCCTGAAAAAAACCAATATACCGTTGGAAAGCCCATACAAAGGGCTTTCATTACATATGAGTTTCATTTTTCTGCCAGCGTTCGCAATACTAATTTTTTGAGGTGCGAATGACGCGGGACCTCCAAAAAGTACGCCAAGTCGGACTTTGAAGGCCTGTATCTCGCGATAGGATCGTTTCCCCGGAAAAACCGATATACCGTTGGAAAGCTCACATCAAGGGCTTTAATTACGCGTGTTTTTTATTTTCCTACCTGGTGTCCCAATACCGACTTTTTTAGGTTAACCGCATTTTTGCACCTTGAAAAAATCGAAAAATTGCCGATTTTTGGGTGAATTTGGCAACACTGGATAAAAACTATATACGAAATGATAGCTCTTTTTATGTTCTATCAACTCAAACAAACCGCACCTTCGTATCTTTAATTGCTCAAAAGTTATGGGGTTTAACATGTTTCAACTTTGGGCATTAAACCAACCCCGGATTTGGAGGCCGGAAGTGCCCCTCTATCACTGGTATGAATTTCGTTAACTTTTGAAATGGGCGATTTTGGGGGGTCCGTGCATAGGGTCCTTTCGTGCAAAAATATCGAGCAGAATTCCATTGAGGACATAAATTAGGACGAAAATTTTCAAACGCAGCAATGAACATCAGTGGTTTGATAGTTTCACCACCGGTATCTTGCCCGTCCGTGAATCAGCTACGGTAACCCTCTCCGAAAGGATCTTTGCAGGCGCTGATTTTCTTGAAGCTCTTTACTATTACGACATAAACCCCCACCCTCCCTCCCAATCTCCGCGGTTTTACTGGTTTTCCTTGAGAACGCTTGCTCTGAGTACAAAACTGGTAAGTTCTCGGAGCTCATAAAACTTCGATTCGCACAAGCATGAAGAGAGATAGGTATTGCCGGACCATTATTTGAAGCCCAAATATACACAAGGATGGTCAAAATCTCAAAATGTCTCTACTTTTCGCATGCTTCAGGCAGTTTTTCCACTGAAATTGCTTCTATTGGAAAATTCGCGAATTAAATTCAGTTACGTAGTAGTAAAATACTTTGCAAGCGACGCGAATCAGCAATGAAAGTTCCTGGCGTGAGTGAGAGAAAGAGAAAAAAAAGTATTTAACTTGAAAAATTTGACAGCTCTCTACCACTGGCCTGGTGTGATCATGCTTTCAAACCAAGGCAAGAGGGTGACTCTTGAGGTGGAAAAAAAAATAAAACGAGAAAACTATGCATGGCTCTGAGGAGTTAATTTCCCTGGTAAAAATTGGCAGTAGAGTCTGTGTCCCAAAATACCATAGACCTACAGCCGGCTGTAAGATTTCCAATGGCTTCTATAGCTGGCTACACAATTTCTTACAGCCTTTTATAGCCGATAGCGATTAAGCAACAGCCAGGCGATAAAGTGTATGCTAAACGTTACTAATTATGGATGACGTGACGGACTTAGTGAGTTTTTGGACTACCGCTCTCTTTTTGGGCCGTAGTATCTTGATTTATTTTGCGAGGAAAGCTCCGTACTTTTGATGGATGCCTGCCATTCCTAATATGTTAGCGCGCCTTCAATTTCGTATGATACTGTGCAATACCTCTAGTATAAAATAGTTGCTTCAAGCGCCGTAGCACGCTGCGGCGCGGCGGGCGGGCGGCCAGTGTCGGCGCCTACAAACCTAACAGGGATACTTCACTCATTGCGCAATGCGTGAAGTATCCCTGTTAGGTTTGTAGGCGCCAGTGCGTCGCCGCTCCGCTTTGTGTTATTAGGCTCTAATATTTAATCTGGCGGAGTCAGCGTTTTTCAACTCATGATTTTGAAATGTTTGCACACTCTGTATGGATTATTCTCCTTTTAATTGATTAAAAAAAATATGTATTAAAGGAAAATATAATGTGTGTTTTGTAAGGTGGTTCCGTATCAAACTTAATGATTTTCAAAGCACACAAATTCCTACACAATTTCTTATAGCCTTTCATAGCAGATAGCGATATAAGGTGTATAATCCGGCGATAGGAACTATAGCCCGCCTTCATAATTTTTTATCGCTTCGTATAGCCCAGCTCTATGATTTTCTCCTCTTTCTACAGCCAGCTATATGATTTTCTATCGCCTCCTTTGGCCGGCCATAAGAATTCTTATAGTACTTTGAAACGCAACTCCTATCGCCAATTTTTTCCAGGGTTTGCATCGTTTGACGCAAAGAACATCTAAAAATTGTCCCTTTCCAGAGGAATTCCAAGACGATAAACGGAGAATTTATAAATGGAAATAGGTAAGTAAATAAACAGATCGGAAGTTTTCCCATCGTGCCGTGTTCTGCTGTGCCAAAGAAGAACGCCGTATAAACATTCGAGAGTTGCCAAATTTCCTTCGATAAAATTTGTATTTTTGCAGAAGGTTATGCATATTTTTCTTCGAAATTTTCAGGAACTTCAGGTAATATTGCGAACAAAATTATCCGAAAAATTGGAAGGCAAATATTCATAAGTTTACCAGGAAATTCCTGTTTTATTAAAGGCATTTTGGCAACGCCTGAAGGTTCATACGGCGTTCTTCCTTAGCACGGCAGTATTGGCTTTAGAAACGAATCAAGATCTTCAGTAGGGTAAATTATAGTATGAAATTCCGACTCAACGTACTTATAGGTAATTGTTGGCAACGAAAACTGAAAATATATTTTCGGCCCCAAATTGGATTTTTCACTGACCTTTTTAATCTGAATTTCTTTTTAAGGACCCTTTAGCCCGACATTATCACAATCAATGATGTCTCTAAAAACAACTCACCGAAGCAACGAAACCCAGCGCGAGGAAGATCACAGAAACGGTCCACATGGTTGACTGATCCGTTGTGTCGTGATGAAGCTCCCCTAACTTTTTCTGATCGTGACGCTTTCCTCACCTCAGTGTCACTGAGCTCCACTGCAGCCCGATTTCGTCCTCCTTGCCATTTCTGGAAACCCTCTTTTCCTTCACCAATTTCGCATGTCGCTAACTGCCTGAATTTGTTTCCTTACGATTATCTCCGGCTTAAATTCACACTGATTGTAAGCGAAACATGCGCACTGACAATGTAAGAATAATATTCTGATACTTATCTGATGATTAGCTACTGATTTATAAATCACTGCAAAAATATCAAGGTATGGTATAGATTCTGGTTGAAAAGTTGAAGCCGCGTTGAGAAATAAGAAAGAATTATTTCAATATTTCAGAATTATCAGAATATTTCAAGAGCACTAAAAGGAGCGCGATCCTTTAAACGATCAGATCAGTATAAAGTTTCGCTTTTATAAGACCGGAGTTTTTATGAGCCGCGCGTTTTTTGAGCTCTCAAAATGTCAGTTCTATCGTCAGTATGTATGCGGATATCGAAATTCGAATGTCGTCAACGGAAAATTGCTGCGGAGTAGACTCTTGAATGACATCAAACCTTTTTTACCTCTCTTCACTCCTCTGCCTCTTTTGCAGTTTTTTTTTTTTTTTTTTTTTTTTTTTTTTTTTTTTTTTTTTTTTTTTAACCCGGATGACAAATCGCGCACTTCTTACTTCCCCTCTTTTCCGTAAAAATAGAGACGCACGATTGATAGTTTCAGCAGCGTGTAATGTATTAGGGAGAACAAAAATCATTCTGCCGTGCTAAGGAAGAACGCCGTATGAGCCTTTAAGCGTTGCCAAATTCCCTTTATAAATCAAGAATTTATAGGAATATTTTTAAAAAAATTTTCTTCCGATTTTTCAGAGAATTTAGTTTGTAATTTGATCCAAAGAGTGTAAAAATTTCAAGGATAAATATTCACAGCGTTCCTCAAAAATAAACATTTTATCTGAAGAAATTTGGCAACGCTAGAATGTTCATACGGCGTTTTTCCTTAGCACGGCAGCACTGGTGACGATCTGCAAGAAAAATGACTGCAACGAAATGCTCGCAATGTGCATGTTGCGCCCACCAGTGCTTACCGACAACAACAGTGCCGAAAATCAAAGCACGGACCTCTAATACGGTACATATGTATTTCGGTTTGAAAATCTTCACTTTTTCCATATTTTCATGACAACACTGCTCGAAATTTTTGCGGTCAATTTTTAGAAAATATCGTCAAGAAACGAAGAAAAACTAATTAATATTCAGAGAAAACGATAATTAAGGGGCTTGGAGGACATGGCGCATAAGTGGAGTCCTTGGAAAAATTGAGATATATCAATGATTTCAAGTAAAACTAGTCTCAATGCATATCCTATGAATAATTCGCTCCCAAATTATACTTTTTAAGCCCTAAAAAGTCAGTATGAACTTTCTTTCTGCCATAAGGCTCTATGTAATTTCGAAACTTTAAACACGTATTTCTCGAAGTAGCAAAAACTGCATTTATGTCCTCCAAGCCCCTCAATTAGGCCTTCTTTAGATCGTGAAATGTGATAGGAGATATGTAAAGTCGCAAATCGAGATACGTGGTATGGTAATTTCACCTTCACCATCGATCTGTTCTCCATTTCCCTCACTTTTGCAGCCCACAGATGCGCAAAAGGAGTCGAAAGTTGATCATAGCGCCTGGATGCAACTATTCGTACCCCATGGATGCGCGTGTTGCATGAAAAAATTTGAAGGCGCCCCAGGTTCTCTTGCTCGCACCAAGTTGCGCCGCGCCGGGGCTCAATGACCACATCGGTGGCGAAAATATCGAATCGCAGACCTCGAATACCATAGATTTTGGGTTTAAACATTTTTAACTCGTTTTATCGTTTTGTCATGTACTGCTCGACTTTTTTGCGCTAAATGTTTAGAAAATATTTGGTCAAAAAACGAAGAAAAACGAACAGTATGTTGGGAAAAAACGGTAATTTGGCCTTCTTCGGATAGTGCAATGTGACAGGAGATTTGCAAAGTCGTAAATCGAGACACGTTTTTCGGTCATTTCTCATTCACCATCGAATTTAAACATATGATTTTTCGTCCCAACTTGACTATGATCGCTTTCCTGGAAAAGTTCCTGTGCCCGAATATGTCCACGCAGTACATATGATTGTAGACAGCTACATTTTTTCCACGAAAATATCACACAAAAGAACTATAATTATGTCTTTCGCATATACTAACGAAGTTGTACAGTTTTTCCGTAGTGATTTATACTGTGCGTGAGAGGTGAGAACTCTTCATTAAACTCGCGATCAGACTAAATTTTGCAGTGAGAAAGACTTGCCAGAGTTGGTTAACTCGACAAGTCATCCATAAAAGTAACGATCTGCAAAGAGAAACTATTGTTGTAGCTTCCTTTATGCTTTTATGACAATGAGTTCTTTACGAGCACTTACGTGCCTTACGTGCCATGAGTTATACCATGCAGATACCTATATAGTGGTTTTTATGCAGATAAGCCCGAAAGCCTCATAGGAAGTGCAGTCTACTTATTCCTCTCATTGCATCGAATTGATCTAATTATAAAAATGGCATAACTCATTTCACCTATTCCACTGATGATAACCAATATAGTATTTACAGCTTTTCTACGTTTTAACATTAATATGGCTGTGCGGTATCGAAGAGACTCGTTTTAAGGGAAGATGTTGTTAAATTTCAGTTTCCGATTTCGAGGAAAGGTGTTTTCAGTATAGACGGACTGAATAGTTCTTCGAACAGCCCATAAATTGGATACATTTTGCCACGAGGAACCAAAATTTCCGGCTCACCCATAAAATCGTCTACTTACACAGAGAATTCAATCGCACTTAATGGTTTTTCCCCATTTTTTTCTCTCTTTAACGTGAACCAGAAATAGTGATTCCTGATCGCGGAATGTTTTAAAGTTGAAAGATTAAAACATTTTAAAAAAATTAAAAATGAACCATTTACATAGGGTTGCTCTGTAGTCTGAAAATTATCATTTCCATGCTAGTTTCCCTCGATACGGAAGCGACAGAGCATGTTTCCTGTCAACGTTATCTAAGCACGTTACGTTGCTCCATTAGCGTCAATTTATTTCCTTCTCCAATCCGTCTTTTTTTCCACCCTGAACGACGCATTTCTCCTCATCAATTAGTCCCATAGCTTCGAAGTATTGCATGTCAGCAGTTGCGCGTCATAGGGTGAGGGAAATTCAAAAAAGTTCCGGATCGAGTCTTGACTGTATTTTCGTGCCTTTGCTGACGTAAAGGCCTAACCCCGTTTTTACGTGAGGCACGAAAAACGTGAAGTCATAGGTACGCTGCCGTTTAGAGGAAGAACGCAACGTCGCAGGAGCATACTTAAAAAAACTTAAAAAAGTGAATTTTTTCTGTGAAATTTTCAGATATTTTAGGTTGAACCACAAGTAAGACTTGCTGCAAAACAGTTGGAGGAAAATATCAACAAGTTCTCCGAAAAATGTTTCCTTTATCAAAGAATTTGGCTGCATCGGAAGATTCATGCGGTGTTTTTCCTTAGCAAGGCAGCATGTACAACTGCGGGTCGATTACTGAAATTGGTACGAGGCGATGGACAGAAAAGACAAAGTGAAAATGAAACAATCCTGTTGGTGCAAGGAAGCGCTGATTTTCGCAATGGACAAAGGAAGAAGTATAGGCCAACAACCACCCGTTTCAAAAAATAGGGTCACTCCATTTTCCCGTTGACTTCTTCATCGATCGCTCTGCCTATAAATTTCAAGAATAAGTCTGCTGACCTTATCAGGGCCGGATTTACTTACTTGCTGCCCATGGGCCGCCTGTATTTTGCCGCCCCCTTCTCATTCGTTTTGAGACATCAATAAAAACCATCAAGTGACCGAGCCGGAGGGGGAGAGGCGTATAAGACGCGTTTACTCGTGTTGGTCACATTTTTTGCGCAAGCCCTGTCAACATACATACATACATAAAGTCGCGATTATAGCGCCGCCTCGCGCTCTGCGACGCCCAATCGCCATTGCCCCCTATCCTCCCAGAGATCATCAGGCAATTGGCACCTTCTGATCTCCTCCTCCACCCCTTGTCGCCAACCTTTCACAGGACGTCCACGCCGTCGCCTTCCGGGAGGAACCCAATCGAAGACCTGCTTGGGCAACCGATCATCTGCCATCCTTCGCACATGTCCATACCAGACCAACTGCTTGGACCTGATATCGTGCACGATGTCCTTTTCCACACCCATTATCTCGCGTACCCTTTCATTGCGGATACGCTCTCTTCTCGATATCCCAGCAGACCTTCGCCAAAAGTCCATCTCGGTTGCCCTAAGCATGTCTTCAGTTCTTTTCTTAAGTTGCCAGACCTCACTCCCGTAAGTTACGATACTCTTCACGATGACGTTGTAAATTTTCCTTTTGGTCTCCTTGGAGATACTCTGGTCCCAGAGAACCCCATTTAGCATCGCGATAGCTTTCCTGCCTTGCACATTCCGATCTTTAATGGCCCGATCCAAATTTCCGTCCTTAGTTAACCGAACTCCGAGATATTTATACTCTTCACAGTCCAGGATCTTCCGGCCATCCTCCAGTTCAATGCTTTGCTGATCACCACCGATAACCAACTTCTCCGTCTTAACCACATTTACTTCCATTCCCCACTTTCGGTATACTTCCACTAGCTTCCGCGTCATGTAATTCGCATCTTCTTCGTCCTGAGCTATTACCACCTGATCATCAGCAAAGCACAGAGTATAAAGGGTGCCATCTTCACGTAGCGGGACGCCCATTCCCGAAAAGCATCTTTTCCATTCCTTTAAAACTTCTTCCAGGTACACTTTAAATAAGGTTGGCGACAAACAACACCCTTGTTTCAGTCCTTTAGTAATTAAAAACCCCAACGATAACTCCCCATGCGATTTAACCCTAGAGAAAGCCCCACCATAAAATTCCTTAATAGCACTAATTAGTCCCCCACTAAAACCCCTTTTGTTCAAGGCTTCCCAAAGTTTCATCAATGGCACACTATCGTAAGCTTTCTGGAGATCCACAAACACTAGATGTAATTCCTGGCCAACTCCCTTCTTTTTCTCTATGACGTGGATGATGGTAAATAAGTGATCAATCGTTGACCGACCGGCTCTGAAACCTGCTTGCTCTTCCGCTTCATGTTCTTTCCACTCCTCTTCAATTTTTGCTTTCAAGATTTTTCCATACACTTTGCTCAGGGTACCTGCAACCGACAGTCCTCTATAGTTATCACACTCATCTTTTCTACCCTTCTTCTTGTATATAGGTGACACCCAAGACTCTTTCCATTCTGTCGGTACCTTTCCACCGTCCAAGCAATCTTGCATCAGGTATCTCAACCGTTGAAACAGCTTGCAGGTTCCACACTTGATCAACTCAGCAGGGATATTTCCCGGACCTGGAGCTTTATCGTTCTTCAGCTCTCGTACGGCCTTTACCACGTCCTCCATATGGATCTCCAAGTTATGATTATCGTTAGTATACTCCAAGCTTACGCCTCCATCTTGAAATTCAGGTCGCCTTTCTGTCAGTAAATTTTTAAAATACCCCTCCAGTTTATCAATGGATATCGGAGATATTAAGTCACGCTTCATGTCCCTTCGCAGCCCTTTCAGCAACTTCCAGCTCTCAGTGCTTTTCCTTCCTCCTATGTACGTGTCTATTTTGTTACAGCTCCTCTCCCAAGATTCGTTCTTTTTCTTGGTTATGAGCCTTCGTACCTGCGTCTGAGCTTTTTTATACGCCTCTTTGTCTTCTGTTTTTTTAGAGGAAAGGAACTGATGATATTTTTTCCGTTTCTCCTGAATCTCCTTCTCAATTTCTTCGTCCCACCAGTAAGGTTTTTCGCTAACTTTCCTATCATCAGCGACACCAAGAGCTTCCATTGCTGCCGAGTGAATGCAATCCTTCAGGAACTGATACTGCTGTTCGGTATCACCGTCCCTTGATTCGCCCAACTTCTCATCCAAGCGCTTTCCATATAAAGCCCTTACACTTGGATGCTGCAAGCTGTCAATGTTATAGTTTACAAGCTTGACACGATCTTTTTGTTGGTGAACTTCTTCCTGTGCTTGCCTGGTCTCCTGGCTCCCTTTCACTGGGAAAGCTATTTTTGCCCCGAGGAAATAATGATCACTGCCGCAGGAAAGACCTCTCCACACTCTAACTTGCTGAATCTTCATTCCCGTGTCTTGTCTGACAACCACATAATCAATGATTGATTTCAATCCGCGAGTAGACTGAACCCAAGTAAATTTATGGATATCCTTGTGTTGGTAGAACCCATTGAGCACCTTCATGTCCCTTTGCTCACATACGTCAATGATACGGGCTCCGTTATCATTTAGTGCCGCCTCTCCGAAAGGGCCGACGATCTTACTTTTAATTTGACGTCCTATTCTACCATTGAGATCTCCCACCACAATGATTTCCCTCCTGGATCCAATCTTACCAATTTCCTCGTTCAATTCTTCGAAAAATTGGTCCTTCACTGCGACAGTGGCCTGTCAACACTACTAGCAAAAGTTCACGGAACTAGGCGCGAACGTTAAGTTCCGTAAACCTATCTCTGTATGGACAAGGCCCTCCATTTATAAAAAATGAACCAAAAAATTATGAAAGAACAAACATAAATGTGGTTTAATAATTTTAACCTCCGCCGCCGCGCCGCGCTGACCGCACTGTGTTTGGCGCAATGCGTGAAGTATTCCTACAGCTTTACATGCTATGCGTTTCGGGTTCGGGCCGACCGCTGCTGCACGCACTGCGTTTGACGCAATGCGTGAAGTATTCATGCAGTCTTGTAGGCGCTATGCGTTTCACGCTGACCGCTCCTGACCGCAGCGACTGCACTGTCTTTGGCGCAATGCGTGAAGTATTCATGCAGTCTTGTAGGCGCTAATATGTGTTACATGCCGACCGCCGCGCCGAGGGTCTCTCCTTTTCATCTCACGTTCTAGTCATCATTGCTCTCTGCGCCGCGCCGTTCCAGGCCAAATTCCGGGTTCGGTTTCTCTCTTAATCTCAACTCGACTAATTAAAGGTGCTGTCTATTGTATCACAGAAGGACGACAAAATTAGAGATATACTCTCAGGAAATGAGAGATTTTGTCACCTTTTCTCGTTCGTATTTTTTTTTTCTTTTTTCTGAATCCGATTTTTCTTTATAGCTACATTTAAAAAAATTGCAAAATTTGCCGCTTCCTGAATTTGTCGCCATGGGCCACGGCCCATGTGGCCACCCCCTTAATCCGGCCCTGATCAGATTTTCAGATAAGGTCACCTTATCTGAAAAACTATTTACACGCTTTTCCAGTAAGCAAACGTAACTGAAATAACCGTCTGTACTTTTTTCAAAATTTTCGACGATTTTGAATTTTTGCTTCTTTTTACCGAAGTATGGCAAAAAAATGGATAAGTGCTCCTATAAGACATACTTTTTTTATGCAATCACCATGAGCAAAGCCACACTTTTTTCTGGAGGGAAAAGGTGCTTTTTGAGCCGAATTGTAGTGGTATTGAAAGTTTTTCAGATTGAATCTTGTCAAGTTGTGTCTGCTAGGAAAAACGAAAACTGAGCACTGACTTTTAGAACGCAAAAAGGGTGCTCGGTGTGTATCGTTGTTATTCTTGTTTCGGCACGTTTACTCGCACTATCGAGATTTGAATAACGAGTTTCAATCATTAATATTCTAGGTCCGCTGCAGAGGAAAGGAAAAAAGTCAGAACTTTTCCCTAGCGGAACAGCTTAAAAAATGATTGGAAGAATAAGAGACTGATGAGTTTTTTTAGTTTATAAGTTACACTTGAAAAAATCTCATGAAAATGTCATCAATGATCATTCTACAAGAATTTTACGTATACATTCGTGAGTCAGGAGATAAAAATAGTTGAGAGAGAAACAGAGAGCTAAATTTCGTGCTATATATTCTGAAAAAATATTGCGAGGCACCTATATTTCTTTTTTTTGTCCAATCTACAATTTTTTCACGGGTCTGTTGGTAAAAAAAAATCTTTGCAATTCACGACGTGTGCACCTATGGGGTTTCTCAATAAAGCATTTGCAAGGGTCTGAAATTTGATGAATTGCCTGTTTAAGTGGAATCCTCTGAGTGAACTGAACACGAAGATACCCTTGATTCATAAATTGAGCAACTATTAGAGGAGATATAACAAAATAACCGATTCTGCTAAAATACATGTGTTTAAATGGGAAATGCCGCCAGATGACGTCACAAGGCGGCACATTTTCTCACTTTTAAATCAATTTTTCTCCAATTTCCCATGTCAGAAAAAAATTATGAAAAATATTGCGAACTCAGCTCATTAGGCACTTTCAGATGAAGCAATAAAAAAATTGCGTGCAAATTCTCCATTGTATTATTATTTTTATTTTTTTCATTTATGAATACCTTCACCGAAAGTAACACAATAGAAGAAATATTCAATAAGAGAATAGTTGAAAACAAATGTATTTCTTTTTCTTTTTAAAATTATATTGTTGTATAAAAACTTAAGTCTAAGGAGACATGTATACATGTAAGATCGCTGATACTTTTTCCTTAAATTTAGGTAGAGTAAGGTTACGGGATGATCAATTTAATTGGTGGCTAGTTGTGATTGGTCCAGGGAAATTTAAAATAAGGTCGTAATGCAGAAACAATCTACACAGGTATAATTCGACAAGCATGCATAGTTTTGTACAAATGATCGGAACGGTTGGTTGGATGTACTGGGTGGAGGTACAATATTTTTCACTGGTGTATGTTCTCATACCTACATTCAAATCTGCGTAAATTTAACTCTAGAAGTAGTGATTTTTTTCGCTTCCATGCTGAATGGTCTCACAAGATGAGACATTCGAAATGGACCAATCCACATTACATTTAAATAGATTCAAGTCCCTAATTTTAAATGAATTGAGGATAAAATTCAATCGAACATATTTGAATAAGCCAATATTATCTTCTAAAATTGCAACATCGCAATTTTTTATAGAAACTGATTTCAATATTCTATTCTGTGCTTAATATATTTTAAAACCTGAGAGGATTATTTTTTTTGCGAATTGCGTCAAAGAAAATAAAAGCTTTCCTTTTTGATGTTGACCCAAAAAAATCTCTGTCTCCAAAATCTGACAACCTTTTTCCTAGAAGTGATTCGTTAGAGGCGGTATCTATTACTTTCAAATAGCAGACAACCTTTAATGGGGCTTGGATCAATCACGAATGATCTGCGTGTGAGGTTTTAGTACGTCAAGAATGATGAAGAAAAAAAGACTTCTAAAGTTCACATGTTTTTCGTGGATATGACACTGTGCTTAATGTTCTGCGAGCGCACATAGAAACAGAATGCGTGGGAGGGGGTTCCTTACGCCCAATCTGCGTGCGTTTTAAGTGGTTCCTGGAACTGTTGGTGCTAAACTTCATGTTCCACTACTCTGCTGAACATATACGCATCGTCGGACAAAATGAATTTTCTTAGCACGGCATATACAATACCGTTTACACCTAACGTAACGAAGCCGATTATTGTCAATAACACCCACGAAGGGATTCCCAAACTTCCTGCAAACAGATAAATACACACAAAATTATCATCATACGAAAGGACTTCTCATTATCATTCAACAAATGTTGTACGCTGATTATGGCCTACTAGGCATTTTGTCTAATAGTGATCAAATTCTGAAGAACTGTTAAGTTTTTCATGTGTGGTTTTTTTTTTTTTTTTTTTTTTTTTTTTTTTTTTTTTTTTTATAAAGGTCTCTGAATGTACCTATCAACGTTTTGAATAGGACATTCAACAGGGCATTTGGGCATTTTAAATCATGCACAGTGTGCTTTAATCCAAAATGTTCTATTGACACGAAAAAAGTATTTCGAGATTGCGCTCATCGCTATTTCGCCTTCAATTTTTTGGATAGGCAAAAAACATCATCCGTGCAGCAATAGTTATCTCAAGGGTTTGCGTCCCTCTTTGTCTGCAAATCTCGCCGTTCTCACGCGGGATCATTCGTGCATTGTTGAGTGAATCTCTAAAATTTCCGCTGGATTAGCAAAATTTTCAGCAATTGATAAAGATCGAAAAAGCAACAGCTATCAGTCTTCGTGGATCAGAAATGCAAAATTATAGGTACATGGAACTTTATAAAATAAAATTTTATTATCAAACTCTTATGAAAGTCATAACTTCTGCATTGGACTCAGTCGGTATGCAAAGAAACGCATAGAAACAGTAAAATCTTAATTTTGAAGAAAAAATAAAATATCATGGGTCAAATTTCGAAGTTTATGACGAATTCTAGGATTGGCGTGGGTTGCATATGCAGCCCGGGGAAATTCGTTTAAATTTCACTTTTCCTCAAAATGAAATGTCTTACTGCATCTCTGATCTGGACCATCCAAATAAATTTGATTCAAATTCTGATTATATGGAATCGAAAAAGAGGTAGAAGCGGAATTAAAATGGATTTATGTTAGAACAGGGCCCTTGCAGTAATGTCTATTTTGATTAAGTTTAACAGGATGGACCCGAGATTTTTGAAAAACATCAGTTCTTCTCACAGTGTAACTTTCATTTTTCTTTTTTTCATTTCTTCATTTTTTCGTTTTCTCGTTTTCTCGTTTTTGCATTTTTATTTTTTCATTCTTTTTCCATTCTCATCATTTTCGATTTGAATTTTAACATTTTAATTTCAACAAATTGCACGAGCTTTATTTATTCGTTATGCAGGTACACGACCAAGAAAGTTTTTACGAGCAAAATGAATTCCCTCTGAACTCGGAAAGACACAAATCAACTCGGAGAAAAAAAGAAAGTGCACTGCTAGTCCAGTTCCAGCTCAGAGTCAGATTTATTGTTCATTAAAGCGACGAAAAGAAAGGAAACAACTGCATAACGATGCTTTTTGAGTTCTGTCAGACACTTACAGCGAAAACCCCTATTTTTCTCCAAGAAAAACTGTACTGTCGGACTCCTTCCCGTCAAACTAGATCCACCGCTATTCTGTATGCTGAGGAAGAACGCCGTATGAACCTTCAGCCGTTGCCAAATTTCCGTTGGTAAATCACGAATTTTCGGGAAAATTTGTAAATATTTTTCCTCCAATTATTCAGATAACTTTGTTCGCAATTTTACCTAAAGCTCTAGACAATGGGGACCTGTTGCGCCATTTTTTTTATTGCTTTAATCGAAAGAACTAAGGCTCCTGATGTTACAGGCATTTTCCCGGAGTTTTTTGATCACCGGAAACCCCCAAAAAACCAACTCAAAAACGCCTCAAAATTTGGATTCTCAAAACGGACACTATTACGCGGTAACGGCATCAATTTGCAAATCCCCGCACCTTGCAACAGGCCCATTTATCGGAAAAATATTCACAACTTTCCTCAAAACTAAATATTTCACCGGAGGTATTTTGGCAACTCTCAAGTGTTCGTACGGCGTTTTCCCTTGGCACGGCAGTATTACCCGAAGTGAAACGTGCTGGGGATAAAGGATAATTCCAAACTATTTACGTGAGCATTTACGATGAGCAATTGAGCATGCATTAAAGTCGGGAACGAAGGCAACAAGTTGTCTGGCCGGCTTTTCCTGAGCCCTCCCCTCCCCCCTCCCGCGTCTCGCGCCCCGCGATGCAGCGCGGAGGATCCCGATGGCGGCCTGGCTCGACCCTCGCTCCACCCCTACCCTCCGCCTCCCGCGGCACCCCTGCAGCGGCTGCGCCCACCCTTCGCCCCTCGCTCCACGCCCCGCCGCTTTTCACAGCACACACGCCCGGCCCCGGTGTCCACACCGTCCACACACGACACGCGACATATGCAGCCGCCCACGAATCGGGAGCACTCCGCTCCCAGGAAACCAGCGCCCGTCAGCAGGTCGCTCGATCCCAGGAACCCGGCTCCCGCTCCCCCTCGCCCCTCTCGCTGCATCCTCGCGCCCTTCCCCGCCCCGCCCAACCCTCACAGCTGCATCGTAGCTGTGTTGTTGGAGTTGCAGCGCCCGGCTTTGAAGGCGTTCCAGGATTCGTTCCTTCCGCAAGCCCGCTGCACTGCGAATGGATTTAAGTTACGCTCAAACCATCGATTTGTTGATATCTGAACCAAACGCGATTAAGAATCAGACGCAACCAGTAAAATAAAGTATCGAATTAAATTGAAAAAAAAAAAAAACTTTAATACATTTATTCCTTTGTTATTATTTCTCAACTCAAGAATACTATGGGAAGGCAACAGCCTTCCCATAGTTTTTCAGGCATATAATCATTTTAACAAAATGAAACCAACTTGATTCTTTATGCGTGCATAATTTGTTTCAGATACTGCTTATTTTGATATAAATGTTGACAATATAAAGAATTTAAATATATTTTTTTTTCTTCTTCAACGCTCGTCGTAAAAACAATGATATTAGTTTCTTAATAACTCGCACAGAATGGGTTTTTTCTATTTCCATTTCTATCTCGTTTAAAAATCTGAAAACTACTGTCAGGAGAGCTTTTTTGAACAGTGACTAGAATATGCTCTCAGTCTGGCTTTACAGAACTTGATGAATTCAACCAAATTCAGTTTGTGAAAAAATCCAAATGAAATCCTATAAAAATATGGAGCTTGAAAAAAAGCGTCCCGTATATCTTGATGAGTGCTGCAAGGACGAGAATGTGTATGCTTTCTCTATCGGCGACTGGATGTCTTGGGTTAAATGGACATTATTTTGCAAGGGTAAGCACTATACATGACTGTATTTCATCAAAATTTTCAGCCCGCTCGTTGGCTCAAGGAATTTTCAGTGGAAAGCAAAGAGAAGAAAAAATGCACCAGTATCCTGTGCGTTTCATACACCGCTCTTGTGCTTAGCTGTTACCTACAGAGGTACCTACGTTTAAAATTTTCCGATACCATAACTTACTACCCAAAGTGTATTTAATACGTACTTACGGTAATACGTTCTGGTGATGGTTTTTCTTCCACGGAGTATTTTGCGTCTACCTTCAACCTCCGTGAACATGACAGCCATGATAACTGAAATTATAAAGATGTCAATGCTAGATTCATAGAAATATACCCTAAAAAAATAAACATGCAAGCAGCGAGGGAATCAATTTGCATTTCCATTACAATAAATTGCATTCCTTACCATGATTTATTTTTGGTAATGTATCTTTCAAAAATTAGTTTTTCAATTTTTTGAGAAAAAATGGTCTTGGTTTTAACTTCGTTTTTTTGTTTGTTTTTGCTTTGTCACGTGTTTCAGGTTAATAATACTTTATTTTCACTGATATCATTTATACGTACATCCAAAAAAACTATCTAAGCTCCACAATGAAAATTTAAATTTAATACAACTCGCCAATGCACCTACCTAAATTGTAAAAATTTGATCGAAAACAAGGATAAGAGTGATAATAGAAGAGGTAGGATCAACAATGCAAAAAGAACATATGTTTATGGGAATCTACGTTTTATGGGAGCCAAGAGGGCAATAAAACTCTAGAGGTAAATTTCTTGAAAATTAATGATTTTCAACGGAGATACAATAACCCATAGATGCCCAAGGTTGGTCATATTGACCTGAGGCTTGCTGAAAACTATACGAACTATAAATATAGGTCTACAAATACATCTTAAAAAAAAAAAAAAACCAGACGCCAAATTGAAAAAGAAACAACAACAATTGAGTGTCGACACAGCCAAATCGGGCCTCGTTTTTTAACTTTTTCCCCGAATCTGAGCAACACCTTATTAGCAACAAAGAGCGGAGCATTGCGAGTTCACGCCTAGCGCCATCGCGCCTTCAATTTTGCAGATGCAACACGGACATCCATCAAGTACGAATAGTTGTATCTCTACGCCGTCATCAACGCGCATCCTTTCCCTCACTCTATTTCCATATTGCGTTTTTTCTCGTTAGTTTTAATTGTGATGATGCTTCAAACGCATCCGTCAAGCACGAATAGTTATATCTCTGCGCTGGCATCAGTCGCGTAGGGGCGGTTTCTCTTTTTTAAATTATTTAAGAAAAGTTAAGATCGAGTTTGCTCAAAATATACTATGATGTGTTCAAAACAATAAACATTTTTAAGAAGAAAAAAAGGGACTAAAAACACGTTAACGCGTCTCTCTAAAGTGCCCTAAATGGCGCTCATCTAAAATTGATATTTTGGCGAGAGTTGTGTCGTGTTTGGGAATTTTCTGACTTGCATACCCCCAAGAAATCCCATGCCGGGTCGAATGGACCCTTCTATCTCTCCTATCTACAGAAGTTACATATGTCGGATGAGGAAGAGGCTGAAGAAGGGTCAATATGTTACCAAGAAGGTGAAAAAAAAATTATTATCTTCAAAAACATGGACATAACACAAATGATACTTCAAAAACTGCCAAAATCAATGCATTTCTACACGGCTCAATTTGACCTGATTTAGCACCTCGTATATGAAAAAAGTCTGGGGTATATAAACGTTAAAAAAATTATTGATAGGTACAATCAAGGAGTAAAAAAATCCGTTAACATTTAAGCATTTCCTAGGTAATATACTATGATCATCATTTCAAAGTAGAGTGTGAGCTACTTAATGATTAATCCATTTTCAAGTGAAAGTCCACACGATCAACTTAGACAATATATCTTTATGGTTGATCATAGCTTTAAGCCGACATCATAACACAAGATCTAATCCCCTTACAATAATACCTCTTTATTTTATCACACTAATTTTTCCTTGTTAGTTCCGTGCACCCTCTCAGAAAAGTATTAATTTCAAACAGTAATTCAGGGTCACACAGATACCGCAAATCTGGATCAATATATTTAAGGAAGACTTAAAAGAGCATGCTGTTTACGAAATTTGTACATTCGCTCGAAAATCTGTCCCCGTGGTGATCGTATATTTATTTCTCAGCGAGTGCAGCATGGTGTCAAAATTCAAAAGTTAAATTTCTGTTTTGGATGCTATTATTTAATCTCTTTCTTTTTCATTGCTTTAATATTTTCCATTTAAGCCATAAAATTGATTCGCCAGCATTCACAAATCCCTAAGCAACCAAGAGGAATCGTTTGAAAAATTATTCTTTGTGACCGATTAAAAATAAAGAAATAAAAGACCAACGTGGAGGACCGAAAAGTTACTTAAATTTTTGTTTAGGTAAAGTTTACAGTACTTACCTACCTCGACGCATTTCACCGATGAAGCGCTTATCCAGATAAAATTTAATTTCATCGTTTGACCTCCTGCATGCATGCTCAAATCTTTCGCTCGTGTAAATAATCTTACTCTACTTTCTTCTTTTTTCTGCGTACGGATCAGTTTACAAATAGAAGAGATTTCAAAATGTAAAAGGAGAATCGTTTTGTTCATGGGCCGTTCATAACATACGTAACGCTGAAAATCGGATGTTTTACCCCCCCCCCCTCTCCCCCTCTAAATACATCCATAGAACAGGTCTAAACCCCTCAAAAATTACAAAACGCTCAGTGCGAACCCCCCTTCCCCCCTTACATTAGTGTTTTTCATTAATTTGGGATGAAAATTGGCCACCTTGCGTTCCCTTCCCGGTAACGCATACACAGCCCTCCTCTCTTCCCTCCCCCTCTCTCTCCCTAGAGCGTTATGTGTTTTATGGACGGCTCCTTACCAGCCTCCTCATTGAAACTCATCGTCTGGCTTTCAAAGTGTGTCTGTTGAAAATAAATTAATTTTAAAAAAAAATGAAAAAAAGAAAGAAAGATACGAGAAATTCAGTCATGTGCAGTTTTCATCGAAGGTCACGAATGTGCAAACGCCTGACTGTTACCTGTGCTCCGACTCATCCCTAAAGCGCGTATTTCCGCAACACGTTTGATATGGATATCGCACTCCATACTTCCTGAGTTCCGGCCCTGCAGCACAGCATGAGAGGCCACTCCTCTCATTGAACTGTGATGAAATGACTCACACTAGAATTTGTTTTTATCTCATTTCGTCACTTTTACGTCGTGCTGTGGTGATTAAGCTTATAAGAATCTATTGTGTGTGTTTTTTTAGATTGAATTTATTTTGATTAATTGTTTTAAAATAATGCAACTGTTTACTTGTAATACAGCAGGAGACCACGTTTTTCCTAAGATCGAATTCCCAAATATTCCGCAAAACATAAAATTCTCAGAATAGTATTGGAATTTCTTAAGAAAACATTCGCGATGCTGATAATAGGGACTACCTACTTAATGTTTATGCGTCCATCCAATGGAAGAGAATACGCAAAAATAGTGCACCCTTTTCAATCTGTACCGTTTTTATAATTTTGCAGAGACAGCTGGCTTTTAGATAAAGGTTTATATCCACCTCAGTAGGTGCAGTTTCCTTCCCTCTCCCTCTAAATAACATTATGATCGATTTTTCCTATAAAAACATAGCCACGCCAGAGACAGAATTTTTAGAGTAAATCGGCAAGAAATCTATATACGTCATAAATGGTAGGTAATAGTTAAATTTTGGACAAAAGAAACTTGCAATAGAGCTAATCTCACGAAAATTTACCCAGAAAGAAGGTGCAATGAAAGCACAGTCAATATGTCTAATACCCTCTCTCCAGGTAGGGAATCAATTAGATAAAAAAATATATTTTTTTTTATCGAGTAGCCGACTGGTAAAGGGATATCTCCTTTTTGTCATCAAGGTATTCTTGTCACTCCGCCATTATTTATTCAGAGACAATTTATGAGAATTTCCTATGAAGAAAAAACATGTTCTTATGCATTTAATGGGTCGTGACAGGCTAGGCATTTGAAGTAAACATCTCACCCGCACCTACACTTAAGCTTTTTGGAATTTTTATTTTTAAAAATTTTCGATTTTGTCTCATTTAAACGGTTACTCCAAACTACTCAAAAATTCATTGCGAGAGGGGAAAATGTTAAATTCAACAATCTGAGAATTTTTACGAAAAATTATCATCAACCATTGTGTGAATCAAACGGCACGAAAAAACAAACCTGTTATACCATAACCAGGATCCTTGTTATCCACGCTAAAGCTAGACTGCCTTGTTAGGAGCATCTGAGTATTGTTACCTGCGGTTATGGAAATATCGTCACTCTGAGATAGCCCTAGAGTGTAGGATATCTGCATATGTATATACTTAACGTATCTCTTAAATCTCCTCGCGAAGTCCCGTGGAACAAATGGACTGCATTTTGCGACAAGGGACCAAGATTTCTGATTTAAAACCACCTACCTGCGCAAGGAAACTAAAGGCAGACTGACAGAAATGTTGTTTCTAAAATGAGTTAAAAATGGTACTTCCCTCTTGCGAAATGTAGTCCAAATATGACAAGGATCTCTGTGATGGCAATACGGTAATTGTTTCCATGATATTTTTATATAGAATATTCCGTCAATTAATTAGTCTACCCATGAAAAAGACTTTCTCTGGTAAGAGCTCTTAGATACCTGAGAATGGTAGGATGTCTGCGACTTACTTGTGACGATGACGAAATAGACGAGGAATCTACGCATTTTGTCCATGGTTTGAAAGTGGGTCGGGGAGCGAATCGGATGCGATGTCGTCAGGAAGAGCGCGGTCTACTCGAATGCATCTTGGTTCCAGGTGACATGACGGGCATCGGCGAGGCGGGACGTTTGAGCGCCGTCACCCGAATATTTACCCGCCGAGGTGCGCCCGTTGCCCGGTTACTATCCTTATCACCCGAGATAGCGCCGCCGCCTAATCCCTCAGAAGTGGCTCCATCGGCAAATCGTCGCCGCCGTCGGAACCACAGCATTCTTACCATGGTAGACCTGGCACGAGGTGGGTATGCTACGCTCGACGCATCAATTCATGCAGCAAGGCTGTGGCAGCTTGAAGTTCCCGAATCCAGGGCTTCGCAGTCCGCAGGGACGAAATCGCTGCAATAAGCACGTGGGGGAGGCTGCGATATAACTTTGGTAGTTAGTGGTAGATAACTAAATCTCGGAAGACTGTTCATTCCCCCCTCACTTCGAGCATGTCTCTCTTCGATGGATAGCCCTCGCAGCACGAATGGCTCAGAGAGCTTTTATAGAAATTTAAAAAGTAAACTAGGGGCCTGAAACCACGGAAAAAAACCACACGTAAAAGATGTAGGCACTAATATGCGTGTCACGCCAACTGATCGACTGCACAGCGTTTGGCGCAATGCAAGAAGTATTCATGCAGTCTTGTAGGCGCTGGTATGGGCTTGACGATTCAATGTCTTTGACTTGACGCCGCGCGCACTGTTTAGCGCGATGCTTGAAGTATTCCTACAGTCTTGCAGGCGCTAATATACGGTTAACGCCGGCCGCACTGTGCTTGGCGTGATTATTTGAACTCTCGTTAAAATAATCGCGGCATCGAATTATAGAGCTTAAAAGGCCTATGTTGTGTTTCGACGCAGCATTCCAACGTTGCCTCATTTCTCCCAATAAAATATTTTTTCCAAGAAGAGTTAGGAAAGTTCTTTGTATCCACGACCATTATTCAATCTTTTCACTTCATTTATCATCAGAAGGTCAAAAAAGGTATCGATGACTTGTCAAAAAACTAACGTAAACTAGCGTTAACATAAGAATGCGTTTATTTTCCAACCGTTTTCTTTTTTGCCGAACTTCTACCTTAAATTAACTTCATTTTAAATTCGCGCATTCCTGTAGCAGATGTTCAGGTTTCTACTCGCGCAATGCAATCCTCATATATTTTCTTGGACCTATTTCGCGTGATTCTCGATTACCGGTAGGGACGTGGGGGGCAAGAACAGCACAGGTGATGGGGCTGGCCCCTCTCCTTTCGTCAAAATTTGTCGCCATTTCTTGGTTTTAAAGTCCTCTTTAATATAAAAATGAAGCAAACGGATTTCTACATCCTCCAAGTTGGCATGCTTTGGAGGATCACTTATTTCTTACAAATGATCGAACATCCTATTTAACATTTATCTTGCCCTTATTAGTTCATCATTCTCAGTTACAGTTCACCTCAGAAATTGTTTAAGATAAATACTTAGGTACATGTGTGTGTACGCTGTACGTTCGCCGTATATAGGATACTCATGCACCCAATTTATTGATCCCGTTTTTATTTACAAGTAGATTACATGATTCACCATTTCTATAGCGCAACACTATTGATCTGTTCGGGTAAGTAAGTACATTCACTTCTTAAGTGGATACCGCAATCTGCCTCGAAGTTAGCTCACATTGGGTAAGGTCAGTTTGAATTTATCAGAACACTCCGCATTTATATTCCTTGTGGGTCTCTTTATGCTGCACAAAACATTTAAAAAACCGATCGCAACCCAATCCGTCGAACCTTGAAGAGTTTTCCGTTGAAAAATCAAAACCTAGTTTTCCGATTTGACCCGAGAAAATTGCGCACAAACATGTTGAGCAGTAATTATTGTCTTAGAAAAATTAAATAGGAGAGGAAATTTTCGAGCAACGCACACGAGGCCTATTGTTTAGTGGTTTCACTCGATACATCCGATGCGCAAGGGAGGTCTGAAAGAAGGTTGTTCGGCATCGGCTCACGCCTCTATTTTCTGTAAGAGGCAACAGGAACCGGCGGACCATGCAGTCGTTAAAATGTTGAAGTAATTGACAAAACTTTAAAAATATCAATATCCTCCCTGGTAAAAATTGGCAGTAGAATCTGTGCTTCAAAATACCATAGACCTACAGCCGGCTGTAAGATTTCCAATAGCTTCTATAGCCGGCAACACAATTTCTTATAGCCTTTTATAGCCGATGGCGATTAAACAACAATAAGGCGATAAAGTGTATGCTAAACGTTACGAATTACGGATGCTAGGACTTAGTGAGTTTTTGGACCACCGCTCTCTTTTTGGGCCGCAGTATCTTGATTTATTTTGCGAGGAAAGCTCCGTACTTTTGAAGGATGCCTGCCATTCCTAATATGTTGGAGTGCCTTCAATTTCGTATGATACTGTGCAACACATCTGGTGTGAAATAGTTGCTTCAAGCGCCGCGGTATGCTGCGGCGCGGCGGGCGGGCAGCCAGCTGAACGCGAATTGGCGCCTACAGACCTAGCTGGAATACTTCACGCATTGCGCAATGCGTGAAGTATCCCAGTTAGGTTTGTAGGCGCCAGTGCGCCGCCGCTCCGCTTTGTTTAGGCTCTAATATTTGCGGAGTCAGCGTTTTTCAAGTCATGACTTTGAAATGTTTGCACACTCTGTATGGATTATTCTCATTTTAATTTAAGAAAAAAAAATTGTGGTAAAGGAAAATATAATGTGCGTTTTGTAAATATTAAGGTGATTCCGTACAAACTTAAGGATTTACAAAGCACAAGAATTTCTACACAATTTCTTATAGCCTTTTATAGCCGATGGCGAAAAAGCAACAGCCAGGCGATAAAGTGCAAAGCCCGGCGACAGGAACTATAGCCCGGCGGTATAATTTTTTATCGCTTTGTTTAGCCCGGCCGTATGATTTTTTCCACTTTCTACAGCCAGCTATATGATTTTCTATCGCCCTCTTCAGTCGGCTATAAGAACTCCTATGGTATTTTGAAACGCAGCTCCTATCGCCAATTTTTACCAGGGCCCTCACGTCCGGGGAGCGAAATTGGACGTATGTATGCTAAAAGGAACTATGTGCTTAGGATTCGCATGTAACATAGTTCCTTTTAGCATAAATACGTCCAATTACGTATCCTGCATAAGTTCTACCTACCTTCCTATACTGCCGTGCTAAGGAAGAACACCGTATGAACAATGAACATTCGAGCGTTGCCAAATTTCCTTCGATATAATGTTTATCTCTGGGGAAAGTTATAAATATTTTTCCTTGAAATTTTCACGAACTTCAAGTGAAATTGCGGAAAAAATTACTTGAAAAATTAGAAGGAAAATATTCATAAGTTTACCAGGTAATTCGTGTTTTATCCAAGGAAATTTGGCGACGCTTGGAGGTTCATACGGCGTTTTTCCCCAGCGTTAGAGAAGGGCTCTAAAATCCTTTTTGTCGTGGACCCCGCGTTTCCCCAGCATTGAAAGGGGTCTGGAAGCCTCCCCGAGGAAATTCTCATTCGTTTCAGGAACAATTTTGCGCTGTTCTTGCCGAAAAACTTATTGAAATAGAATATCAAAGATATAAGAAATATCACGCAATAATTTTGCTGAATCCTTTACATTTCCTGAAAGGGACGAGAAAAATGGACTGTGCTAAACAGAAAAGAACCAAGCCAAATCAGCTATTGCCAAATTTCATTGGGCAATTCAATTTTTTACATGAAAACGGTTGTGCGGATTTTCGTGCTTTCAGTGGATTTTCTGCATAATACGAGGCAAATTCCTTAAAATTTTCAACGGAATGCACATGAACGTTCTCTCGTAAAAAATTAAATTGCCCAGTTAAATTTGACAATAGCTGATGTGGCTTGGTTCCTTTCTGTTAAACGCGGTCCAAATAGGGGTAGGATTTAGAGCAGTGGTGACTCTCATGTTCGCAAAACTGGATTCTGTCATGTTATATGTGCTCATTGAGAACAAGAAATATTTATTAAGGCTGGCTGTTTTACTTTGAATCGATTATTTTATCAATAATAGATCTGAGTTGTGACAAAATAGTGCTGCTATCTTGCCAGAGACATTATTGATTGAAAGGGCATTGATGAGAGTTTGTCGATATCTAAAAAAATCGGGAGGTAAAGATCCTTTGAGATTCCTAAAGGTTGATAAAACTTGTTCCTGGTACCTCAAGGTTAAGTGGCAGATAATTAAGATCAAGTACTTTGGGTAAATCACTTCCATTAAAACAATCAAGGATTGTATACCTTTATGCACACTTTTATTTTTAAATTATTATTATTCGACTCGCGGCTGTCATTGGACAGACCGGAATGAAATGGGAATCCAAGGACAATAACCGGCTCTCAGAAATGCAGTGGATTCTTTCAATACTTTCTATAATATTTACAACATATTATTTTTACTTTCAATTATATTTAGAACATTTAGGCTTCATTAAAATATGTCTGCTCGGAAAAAAATCTGAAAAATATTGGCCTGCAGCTCTAGTAACGAGAAAAGTAAAATGAAAGTAAGATGGATAATTTCTACCAAAGTAAATCTCACCAAAAATGAATTAAGGACTTGGATGCAAAAAGGTCCTTCCCCACTACAAGATTGAAGAGTTTCCGCCAACGATTAGATTTTTTAATAGAAAACTACTAGATCATTAAACTTGAAATTTGCGTTAAAGACATCATAAAAGTAAGAGGGAAATTCAGTTATAATTGGACTGAGTTAAGCAGAAAGGAACCAACCCACATTTTGGAAAAAATTGAGTTATGAGTGGTTTTGAACCCAATCACTGCTTTACTCTCTATTGCCAAAAATTCAAAGTTTTTGTTGGAGCAAATTTTGCAGAAATTGAACTTGAAGTTTAACTTATACATTGAGTCTTATGCAGGAGCTAAACTTTAAGTCTCTTTTTCTCGGTTCAATCCCGATGTGGCTTGGTTCCTTTCTGTTTAACTCCGTCCAATTCTATCTCTCTACCAAATTGTTTTGTTCCTTTTAAAATTGAAAGTATAAAAAAAAAATTCTGAAACTGTGAAGAGCCCTTTTCGCACCCATGATGTCCATTGAGTAAGAGTGGATTGAAATGAGTTACCAATTAGCTGTTGAATTAAATAACAACAAAAGTCTTAAAATATACTATTTATTTTCTGTATATCTATATAAAAATATATTCAACACATTCAACAATATTTGAGAATTACTTGACTAAAACTAAAATAAGAGCTGAAATTTATTTATAAGTTAAATATCACATTTTAAGAAAATTACTACACAATACTCAATTTCAGCCAATTTATACTGATTATTTACAACAATTAACTAAACGAAAATCAGTATCACAATGGAGAGTAGTTAAAATCTGTATTATCTAATAACTTCAACAAAGCATTATATTTACAAAACTTAATGAGAAAATAACAGGATATTACAAGGAGTATTATTTGAGTATTATGCTACCGGAATGATGAGCCTGGTTACTAAGTGTAAGTAGCGAAAAATTTCTTTCTAATAAATAGAACCTACTTAAATCATATTGTATATCTTGAGCAAAATTATATTTACAATATTTAGGCTTCATTAAAATATGTCTGCTTGGAAAAAAATCTGACAGCATGTTAGTAAGTTTATTAATTTTGTCATGAACTTATGAGGGATTTTAGACAAAATTGAAAAACAAAAAAATATTCAGCTCGAGTGACAATATAGCTTTAAAAAAAATTGTATAAAACTAATGAAACTAAAAGAAAATTCCTGAACATGGGAGATTTGTTCAAATTAAAAAATCTGAGAGAACCTTTACCAAAAACAGTTAGTTACACGTTCAAGGAGCTTTTTTATGCTATTATAATATTGAAAAATACAATTTTTGGCAGACACTTTGAATAGGCATTTTTGACAAAAAGAGGTCGCGACTTATTACTGAAAACTACTTATTTTATATGATAATTCTTAGCAGTAAGGGCTTAGCGGAAAAAGAGCTGACATTCATAAGTATGTTTTCATGGTAGTGCAGCTTGATAATGAAAGCATCTTTTCATCTCAAAATATTCTTAAGAAACTGAATAATAACTTTCTTACACAAACCATATAAGTGCATTTGGTATAATTTAAGAAAAGTGCAAAGATGAACTACTATCACAAACTGAAACTGCAGAAATGCGTATCTTGGTTTGCAGCATTGCAGATTTCCTGTCATATTTTATTTTCTACGTCAAAAACTACCAAACATCATTTCCTGACAACTTTGGTGAATTTTATTCTCTGTGTGATGAAGATTCTGTGAAAATTTCAAGCCATAATGTTGGTTGCGTCTCCTTTTAAAGAATAAAGTAGAAACGGAGATTTTAAAACATTGCAACCCAGATACGTATTTTTGTAGCTTCGCTGTTAATATGCTGATGAATATTCGCTCGTTCACCGCTGAGCTTTTTACACATGTGTCTGAACTTTAACAAAAAGCATGTTTATTTGAAAAAGACTTTCCAAATTTTTCTTCTGAACTTGCATTCATTTTTGCAAAAAAACACTAACAATCAATAAAAATACAAACATTAACATATTGCACCTGTTTAGCCTCATGCCTACATTTATTCAAATAAAATCCTCAACATGATTTTATCCTCAATCGTCTGGGAACAGATGTCCTCCTTGAAAAAGGAGAGGCAATTTCTTTCAAAGACTCAAAAGAGTTTGACAAGACAGTGATAAATTTCTGCCACAGCACAATCATCAAAAATAGTTTCATTATTTGTACAAAAATTTTATTAAGAAAGTTTGCGTCATGAGTTAAATAGTTTGTTTGAGATGCACAGCAAAATGCCCGGCTAGAATTTCTGGTCAAATTTTGATCAAATCAGAGGTAAAAATAAAAGCTGTCCAGGCATGAAAGTTCGAGGTTTCTGCCAAATTATCGCTGGATGAGTATCCAGCGAATATGTCATGAGCAGTCACTTCAGGATTGGTAATTTTAATGGTTCAAATTAAGAGAAAAGTTTATTTCATTCCTTTTCACTGTGAATGAAAGGTAGACGGTAACGGAAGGTGCATAACTTTTGCGAGTGAGCCACTCTACATATAATGAAAAGGGATACCAATGAACTTCACAAAACAGCTTAGTTGTAACACACTTTGTAACAACGAATTTAAATTATTTTTTCATGAAAATGAGTAAAAATGTAAATTGTCATGGGGAGCAAAATCATTACAGAGTCTCTTATCCCCACGTTGAGTCTTATGCGCAATATTGCAATACATACTCGGCACCAATAGACTGATATCCTCTCTATGTCCAACTTTGGAGTCATTTTACTTCAAATAAACGAATAAGTCAAGCAAGATAAAGAATTTAACCAAAAAATTAGAGTTTCCATTAAAAATGTAACTGTCCGCTACCAGACGTATTAAAATTAACAGGAGCTGCTCATCACTGTGGCAACATGGGCCCTATTATGCATGTATTCCTATTGGTCTTAAGAGCCCAAGTTACAATAGAGATAGTTCCTTTTGATTCATCTATTATCTTATAATCCGTGAAAAAAAGGAATTTTTAACTTGTTGATCTGACTAGCTTATCATCGCGGTGGAAGAAAACTAATTCAATTCAAAGTTGCAAAGCGCTCGATTCTGAATGGTCACCAAACGCAACCCCAATTATGAAGAAGTCAAACAACGATCCATCGCTGATTGTTGCAGCATTAGAAATTTAATAACTTCATCTCAAGAAAAAAATTGAAAAAATAGGGGGTTAAGAATTTGAGGCAACTGGATCAGTAGGAGCTGAACTACCGATTGTTGGTATGTTTCTTGTTGTGAAACATTGTCTTCAAGTTATCAGATTATTCATGAATGAGAATGGGTTCAGACATTAGAAGCTATGGTAGAATATTAAATATTTAAATCTTATTGAGGTTAAATTAATGAAAGAAAAAAAATAAGTTGAACAAGCAAGTTTGGGAAAATTAGAATGAATCCACCCCTTGATTATTCTGTTCGAGCCAAGTCCAAGTTTTTTTAGGCTGCGAAAGTGACACTTTAGTGGAGTCAAATGTAAGTTACGTAGGGTTGAATTTGAGGTTTCCTTTCAGGAAAGCATTTTTGAACACTAAAAGAAGAGACAAAAATTATTTTGTAGCGCTGTATTGTTCTGCATAGACCTCTTCTATATAATCTGTTAATCCTGATTACAAATCATTTCCTGGAATGAAGTATGTTTCATTGCATGTTCCGTCTAAATTTAAATGCATTTGCCTTTTTCCAACCAGAACCTGACCTTCAGGCTAGATCAAGTAAACAGGCACATTGTGACTAAACTTGAAAGCGTTGAATCTTTCACAGCTTTGTGAAAAAATAAGAGAAAAATTTGAACTAATCGTAAAATTCTACGATTGGAACACTTGGGATTAAACTCCTAGGACAAAAAATCAGTGAAATGATCATTGAAATTGATACATAATAATGAGAGTAAAAAAATAAACATTTTTTTTATAAAAAATAAGAGGATGGACAGAAAAAGAAAAAAAAAAGCTAATACAAAAATTCTACATACTTACAAGTAAAAATTATTAACAATTTGGCAAGAAAGATAAAAAATTACAGCCGGCGAATCATACTGGTCAGAAATGAAGGTTTCAAATACTGTCCAAACCTCCCCCGGTTAATTTAGCCGCATACAAATTCAAAACCTGAGGACATGAGAAAGAAAAAATGAAAAAGTCTGATAAAAATTTGGAGCCTCTTAATTTACCGTGAAGTGAGAAAATGCAGATTTGACTGATAACATTAGACAAAGTCGGAAAGCCATGAAAAGAGCTCAAACACTTGAAGCTTAAAACCTATGAAATGAGCCAGATAATTTTTAAAAGCTACATTCTTCCCTATTTGACAGAAATTTTGTTCCAAGTTTTATTTTATCTCAGGTGTTATAATTTATTCTTTATACTTGGTTTTATCTATAATCTCAGATTCAGCGTTTGATAATTCAAACAACTGCATACAGGTTATGGTATCTGGATTTTCTGCTGAGATTTATCGAATGCACAATATTATTAAGATTTTTCATCAAACAAAAAATTCGATTTTCAAAGCTTTTAATGATTCCTACGACTCTAGAGTTGTCAGCTGACACTTAAATGCCACAATAAAAAATGAAACCTATCTCCATTTTCAATTCACGGTCGAAATATTAACTTGGTATAAGAGGGGCAAAAAATTTGGACTAAATACAACAAATGAACAACATTAAACAGAAAGGGGCCAAGACAAATCTTGGGATAGATGAGTAAGGCGTAGTTTTGAGCTTCAGAGGCCGCTTAAGTTTTTTTGACAAAATTTTGCTGTTGAAATTTCACATCTTATACGTGAAAATCGTCCCTGAATTTTATCTCTGATATTCAGTCTTTGGGAGGAATAAAACTTCAAACCTCTTTTTTTTTGGCTTCATCTTTTAGGACTTGAATCCTTTGCGTTAAACTTGGTCTAAATTATATGGATTCTTGGAAACACACTCTTAATCAAACCTGCGGAGTACAATAAAACTTTTCTACATGCGATCAGTCATGCTTGCATGCTTTAAAAAAATAAAAAAGTCATCATGCTCAGTCATTTAGAGGTACTAAGTTTAAATCTGTAAGTGATTCGATGCACTGTTAAGGCTTAGACGACGTTACAGGCATTCACTCAAGGGACAAGCTTGAGTGGATTTGATCAGCGTTTGACTCGTTTTGACTTTTAAGAAGACAGATTATTTGATTGTAGGACTGAATCGACCAGGAGACAGCAAGAGATTGAAAGGTTGTTGGGGGTGCCAACACAGTGCAATAGAAAAGAATGGCCAAGGGAAACAATTAAAATTCTAAAATCATGCAAATGCGATGGACATAAAAAATTTTAAATTACTCAATTCAAGTAGTTAAGACAGTATTAGAGTGAATTTAGTTGGAAAAACTTCAAAAAGTTTTTACTATTATTGAAACGCTATTAAAAACTTGCAACAATCTCTGATCACAGTTCAGAGACTCGTTAATATGAACTGTGCATTGAATGAATATACACTTAGTGAGCTCAAAGTAGAAAAGGACAGAAAGCTAAGATAAAAAGTTCAAACCTCAGTATGAAATACGGCTATCAACGAGTTTGAGATGAGGGTTTTTTCAGATCATTCTTTCTCTGTAATCGTCAGCGGAAGCAATCTGCTTACAAACCTTGTAAATGAACGCGTACTGCTGCTTGGTCTGAACGGCTCCAGCTCGACAGCGTCGCAGCATGTAGACGCACTTAGGAACATCGACCATCCTGGTTAGCTCGAAGTCGCGGATGCACAAGTCACAGGCGATAACAGTCCCCGTTCGCCCTGTCCCAGGGCTACAGTGGACTACGTTTGGACCTGTGTTGTTTTTCATGTAGACTCGTGCCTCTATCAGGAACGCTATTATCGAGGACTCTTCATTGGGCACTCCAAGTGGAGGCCATGAGGTGTACCATAGATGGGTCACTTCTCGCCAAGAATTCGTTTCCAAATTCTGAAACAAATTTTACCAGATCCTAGTTATTCAAGCAGTTAAGAATACATTCGTTTCAAAAACAGCATTAATACCTTTGGGACAGTGTGTAGTTTTTACAATGCCCAATTCTAGGGAAAAGATGAAGAGCAAAGAGAAATAAAAATTGGTTGGGCTTATCAATGGTTTTGTGTTGAATGTTGAAGGCTCACCATGAAGAGACTAAATGGCAATGATAACGAAGTGTACGCTTTAATGTTTAGAAATATTGACGTCATAAAATGCAAAAGATGGATTGCTTTTAGAGGGATTCAACTTCAAAGATGAAAATTTCAGGAGAAGATGACAATAGTTTTTTTTGGGAGAAGAAGAAGAAAGTTATAAAAGACCTTGAAAAACATACTCATTAAGGGAGAAAGTTTACATCACTTAAATAACTTTATGATTCTTGAAACAAGAAGAAAACAATTCTTTACCTTGAGTTGAAGAGATGATATGATATATTTTTCACGATTTTCTCGCTTTTTCAAAGTTACTTGAAAATCGCCAAAAACTCTATTGCAATCAATAACTTCGGACGGAGGAAGATAATTGGCACATTTTTCCTGCACAAGAATTAACAAGGTTAAAAAACAGAAAAATTTGGGAGAAAACTTACGAATAAAATAATTTAGTATAATATGAAAAAAGTTATACAATATCAATTTTATCAACAATTTTGTCTGGATGCAAAAAACTTTAGCTAGGTATTCCTTGCCATTTTGCAAGCAAAAATTGTTCAAAGAACAAATAATTTATTGTTAGGAAGACTTCAAAAACACTCATCTTGCATTGCAACATTGAAAATTTCCCTTTATGTTGTATTATTTTGACGCCATCTTTCACCTGTCAAGGTGGGGCTTTTCTGGAGGCTGGCATCTCTCTATCTCTCTTTGGGTACCATCTATCCACCTTTTAGCTGGACATCCTCTATGACGCATATCTGAAGGAACCCAATCCAAAACTTATTCAGCAACCTAGTATCGGCCGTTCTCTGCTTATGCCCATACTATGCCAATTGCTTGGTCATGATATCAAGCAAAATTGAATCTTTGAAGCCAAAAATTCCTCGGACAAGATGATTATTACAGACTGAAAAAAAAATATTTTCTCTGTGCTGTACTTCTTAAAGGTCTTTAATTCTTAATTTTAAATGCAAAAAAAGTAGAAAAGAAAAAAAATAGAAAGGTGGAAGGAAAAGTATAGGGGCAGACTTACAACTCCATTTTCAAAGAAATCTGTCAGCATGAGAATAACTTTGCTCTGCTGCTCCCAGACCATGCGCCAAAAATCTTCGATCGTTGATTGCAAAGGGGCTTGGCAGGCTATGTAAAATCTTTCTTCTCTCTTTGGACCCTGAAAAAGGAAACACATTTAACTATATTAACCAAAGAAAAACAAAATGAAATAAAAAACCAGTTTTCAAAGTTATGATTTCTATAATCTCAGAGTAATAAGAGAAAAGTGATTTTCAACCAGTGAAGGGGCACCGGTGCAGAGAGGATCATTTTTGATAAAGTTATTGAGGTCACTACTGATAGGAAAGTTTTAAATAATGCTGTAGAGAAAAAAAAATCAAACCAATGGGCATTATGACCGTATGAAGTTTACAAAAAGCCTTCGGAAACATAATTTTGAGGATGAACAGACTGAAGTCTACATCTGCTTTGTTCATGACTTAGAATTTTCAGATTAAAGCAAATTTACCCTAACTTTTGGCAAATAAATGAACTAATTGCTTGTAACTTATCGTTATGAGCAGCGTTCTGCATTTAGAACTCAAGCATTAATTTTTTAAAGCTAGTTTGATAAGAATTACTCTCCTAAAAAATTTACTTTCAAGCCCTACAATCAAGGAAGTTTTCGATTTTCAACATGCTGTTTGAGGTTCCATTTTTAGGAGATGTTTCTGGACAGAAGGTTCTGAATATTCGCCTTCATTTGGTGCATTTTATTTCAAAAAATCAACTTGCCTTGACGTAATTTGCATTGATATAATCACTGCAGCCTCCAGTCTTGGTGTTGAGAAGATGGACTCTAGTTTCGGGAAGCGGAATAACATTTGCATAACGATTTTTCGTTTCAGCAGAGGGTGGCAATTCATCTGGTTTCACTGCAACCACAGGAATGGAGGCAAATTCTTCATCGATTGCGTTTTGATCGGATGCAAAATTTGCAAGGCCAGCAAAATTTATCCGATGAGTGGGGCCATTCTGAAAAAACAATTCTGGATTAGGACAACTATTTTCAAAATAAATTTGAAAAAATCGATTACGAATACTGCAAAATCCACTTCCTTAGCATATTTGTGAAAAATCCTCTGTTAACTAACTGGTGCTCAAACACAGAGTAGCTCAGATTTCGATACAAACATCCCGAGCATTGATTTTTGTGGTATAAATAAGAGTTCCTTTTCTGATAGAGGTAATTATTTAAAAATATTCCTGTTTAGAGCTAGAATTCCTTAGAAAAGCACAATACAATACTCACATTATTTTTCTTCAAAGGAAGACAATGTTTTGTTTGTTTGTTTTTTTTTTTTTTTTTTTTTTTTTTTTTTTTTTGCTGACAATTCTGTTAAAGAACCGGTTCACTCTCTTTCCTTCATTTTTTTGAACATCTAACACTTGACTAGCCGTAAAATAAGCAGGAACGAATTTTGAGGAGTTGGGAGAGACAATAAATCTTAAAATCCGTGAAAGCAAGGGTTCTTGGGGCAATTTCATTAGGGAGAGCATACAGAAGGGCAGGGCTTCATAATAATATCTTCCCTAATGACTCACTCCATAGCTGAGAGGGTTATATGCATGGAAAATAACAAGTGCAAGCTAGCTTACAGGGTCATCAAAAGCTGGATTTCCGTAAGATCTTTTGGACGCCCTCGCATCGCCTTTTCTTCGCACACTATTGTAAACTGAAATATTGTCCAAACTGTAGTCATCTAGCGTTACTGGCACACATCGTTGTCCATAATTGAATCGTTTTTGCCTCTTGCGAATGATCATCTGGAAAAGGGATTTAGAAAACATTATAAAACAAAAATTATGTATTCAGAAATAATACAGAAAAATTACCTTTCGACACACACACACACAAAAAAAATACTAACTAAACAATTATGTTTATGTTTATAGTAAACTACTAGGGGGCCCTGCCCCCTGACAGCTACGCAGCCCAACCCCCGGGAGAGCGCCTCGCGCCCTCAGGCCCGCTTCGCGGGCTCTACACGCCTCTTTATAGGCAAAGATGTTCTTCCATTTTAATACACCATTTTGTGTTCGAGCTGCATCGATTTCAAAATTTTTGACGTAACACTCAAATTTGTAAATAATGATGATGGAATGTAATATTTTTAAATACTTAATTTAAAAAAAAAAAAAAAAAAATCTTGTATCTGCTGTAAATATTAATTGAAATTCAGCAGTCAAGTAAATTGACCCATGCCGTAAATCGAAGCTGGAAGAACGCAGGAAAAATTGAGTTAAACCTTATACCTTGGACCTTGAACCTTGAACCCTGAGCGATGCACCGTTCCTCAACTCTTCGAATGAGGAGCCCTTCACGAGCTTTTCCATTGTTTTATTGTTTATTCGAGTCACTCAGGTAGAATCCCACACCTTGACGTTTCCAGCGGAAACGACATATCTCTCACGCTATTAACATTGGACTTAAGTGACGTGAGCTTTAAAAGCTCTACAACATTAAAAGTTCGGGGTTTCATAATTTTTGCACATCTACATCTACTACAGATGACATACATGTAAATATCATCCTTATCGGTCCGGCAGTTCGTCAGAAATAGTGCTTCCAAGATTTTGCTTGTAGTTGTATAATATAGATATTAGAAAAAGCAAACATTAACAGTCATACAACAGCTGTGGCTAAATTTCTATTAGGTATCATCATGTCAGAGATGAAATGAATATTAAGAAATTGTAAAATGTAAAGTTTATAAGAGTCTGTCTTGAAAATATCACACTTCTGCGGAACAAATATTGAAAGCTGGAAACAGCCCGATCGGACATCAAAATGCAATATATTACATAATTAAGACTAGGTCTACAGACGCTATGCGTAGACTTGTCGTTCCGGCATAATTTCTATGTTCAGGCTGCTGTTTTAATTACACAAATAAAGTATGAAAAAGAGTGAAAAAAAGTTGGAATCGACGATGGATGGTTGTGGCGCATTCTGTGACAAAACTGGGCACTTTAATTGCCGAACCTTTACATTTTCCAGCTTCCTCTAGCTTCAGTTGCCATAATTTATAATTAAATTTTAATCTTTCACAGTTTCTTAGTCAGAAAATTCTTCATGAATTTTTGTTGGAACTCTTTTATTTTAAGACTAACCAGCAATAAAATGACTAGGATCAAGCAAATGACAGCGAGGCAGATGATTACAACCGCTGCAATGACTCGAGTTTTGCTACCATCCATATCGGATCCCACACTGACTTCCTTGTCACTTCCTTTGTTCATTATAAGGTGTGCGCTTTCAACCTGTAAAAAAAAATTGTCATTGTTTACAAGGTGAAGAGCTAAGCTAACAAACAAATTTTGAAAACAAGAATGCATAAGTAAATCAACTTGAGCAAAACCCTTTCATGCCTTTACTACTTAATATTGAGAAAACTTGGAGAACTACACAGAACTTGTGCAGTGCAGAGTGGAATAATGTTCTAAAGGTACATTGATAAAATCAAGTAAATTATACAATATTCTTCTTCTACCTACTTTGTAGGAACAAAATGACAAAAAAGAAAGACGTAATACATTATTAGAGATTTTGCATGAGTCATCTAAAGTTTTGGGTTTTGGAGCTATATAAATCCTTCAAAAAACATAAAAAAGGGATTGAAACATAAGAATACAACATGATATGTTGAAAAAAAATGGAACCCAAAAAAGTGAAGCACGCAAAAGTATGAGGTTACATGAGAGAGCCAGTACAAGAAAAAAACAAAAAAAAAACAAAAAAAAACTTGACATTCCTTTATTTTGTGATATTCTGTTGATAGAGAGGCAAAATTAGGGACGTTTCAAAGGAGTTATGCTAACTAGTTTTCTAGAGAAAAAATCAAATATGACAGGAAGTCTGCAACGTAGCAAACAGTGTTGAGTAAAATCGCACTTTGGCCATTGACAGGGTAATACATACTTTTGGTTCGTAGCCTTGAAGTCCCATTTTTCCGTAGAGCTCAATGAACTCTTCATTGATCGACTGCTCAAAATCACCGATTCCATCTGCCAAATAAAACTTAATGTCAGTCTCCTTCCCTGTGTCTTCTTTGGGACAATGATTCGAATTTAGGTCGATGAACTTGATTTGTTCAGACTGTTGGACTCTGAAATCAGAAACAGTGAAAATTGGCATGAGCTGATACGACAGGAGAAAATATGGACCTGACGACTGAAAAAACAAGTCTGACACAGGTTTAGGTTTTTTATTTACATTATAAAATATTTACGCACGTATTACATATTTTATTCAGATGACTGTAGCTTGTAAATTAGCAAAAAAAAAAAAAAAAAAAAAAAAAAAAGAAGTGAGATTATACCGAATTGAATGTCTTATAATCAAAATCTTGACAATTAACAGTTATTGATTTCAAAATTTGCCTATATTGTCTCAGTTGCTTCACAAAACGAAGGAGTTATTTAATCCTCTACAAACTCTTGAGATGATGACTTTACAATAAAATTATTTTCAAATGATAACTGAATGATTGATTTCGAATGGGTAAATTGAATAATAAAATTATTTTTATTAACTTTCTGAAATAAACTCAAAAGCAGGCGTGTAAAAAGTTAAACAACACTCACTGTTGATTGATTCAGATTATTACATCACAAAACAAACAAATGGAGCTGCATTGCAGCTCTTCATAGCGAGGAAAATTTGATAATGAGCTGATGAAATGTTTGCTAAAAATATCTTCTTGTTCGCACATCTTGGTCTATAATGAGGAAGCTTAATGCGTGAAAACATTTCAGCAGGTAGGCTGGCTGTCCCAGAGTTTAATTTTACAGAGACTCCTGGATGACTATTTGTTTTTTTTTTTTGTTTTTTTTGTGATCAGAGCAGAGCAGAAAAAAATGAAGGGTAGTTGTACAGAACAGTCTTTCAATTTCAATTACGTAAGGCACTTTCCAGCTTAACGAGTTTTCGATATGCTGTTGTGGAATACCACACAAAGAAAAAAAAAGTAGAAATAAAAAAATACTCCTCATTACCTACTGGCAATTAATTTCCCTCAATACCTTTGAATGAAGCAATAAAAAAAGTTCACTTAAATGATTCATTGCTTAACAAATAAAAAGAGAAAAGAAATAATAGTTTACCTGGCAGTCCCTGTCCGGAACATTTTGATGATTGAAGTTTTGAGCTTGCCCAAATTTTTACAAACTTTCGCAGGACTGCTTTCAATTCGAAGTTGAATATGGAGAGGAACCGGACAAAGCATGGTAGATGGACATAAGTCTGCCTCAGTTATTTCAGTTGTCCCGTTCGATGAAAAGGGTTTCGCCGTCGTCACAATTTTTGTCGGGGTTGGTGAAAAGAGTTCTTGTTCACTGTCCGTTTCTAAAAAAGAAATCAACACTGTAACCACTGTGGCAACCAAATTATACAAAATTATCTTACAAATTAAATTGTCGAATTAAAATGCGACTGCAATCTCTTCATCGGCACAAAAACAAATAGACTGCGTACAATTTATTCTTTAGAATTGTTTGTCTAGAATTCAAATTCCTATTTTCGACTCTAACTTGACAAAAATTACTCATCTAAAAATTTACATTGTTGCACAATCTCCTTTTCCATGGCTGATAAAAAAAAGGAATTTCGCAGCACTTTCTCAAGATGAGATTCTGAATTCTTTCATTGATAGAAAAAAAGAAACTGTCTAAAACACCCTGATCCCATTAGCACCACATTATTTCATCTCTCCAGCTGAATTTTAAGTTTACAGGATAATGATTCACATTTTAATTGGAGTCTACTGAGAATGAAAACGGTTTTGTATGAGGCAAACTAAGAACTTACCGATGTAGGCGTCTTCATCAGTGGCATTATTCTCGTCCAATTTATCAGGCACTGGAGGTATAATATTCTCATTTTTCTTGGTGCTTGTCACCACTTTCATGGTGGTAGAGAAAGGTGAGGTTGTGATTGAAGTTTTCATGGTGGTTAGCTCAATTTTGCTCGAGGGTTCATGGGTGGTCTCGGAAGTAGCGAACACAGGCCACTTAGCTGAAACAGGTTTTCCTGTTTTGTCTCCCATATTAGAGGTCACACTAGTAGTTGTGGTGCTCTTTTCTCTGCTAAAAATGTCTTTCTCCGACAATGAAGTTTTTGCAGAGGCCGGAGTCAAAAACTGAACACTCATTGTGGTAGTCATGGGGGTGCTGGGTGAGGGTGTTATGCTCTGAGGGAGTCCGCCTTGAGGTGTCATTTCAAAACTAGAGATTGAGCTTGTTAAATTCATCACAGATTGGACCATGTCTTCTGTAGTAGATAAATCAGTGTTCAGTGGGTTCTCACCCAGTTCAGAGCTGTGGTGAGGCTTCATTGATGAAAACTCAAAATCTGGGATATCTTCCTCGGAAACATTGGGTACATTCGTTGAATACTGGTATGTAGTTTCTTCATTGAAATGACTTGGTGATGAGTGACTTGAAGTCTCACTACTAGAATACGGCTCACTGGCTGTTGACTGGGCGTATTTCTTAGAGACACTTACGTCAGGAAGCTTGCTTCTCTCAGTGGACGGACTAACATCAGCGGGCAAGTCGAAGGACACCTCGAACATTCCTTCTGTTTCTGTTGGGTATTCGTTGGTTCCTTTTATCCTGTTGAGCATGTCTAAGGCTGACTGGTGACTTTTATTCAAGCCTCCCTCATGATATTGCTGGGTTTCTTTGATCCCGTTAGGAATATCTGAAGTCGGTGGGTGATTTTTGGTATCACCGAGGTCTTGACTAGACGCACCTTTGAGAGTACCAAACTCAATTTCGGTATTTAATTCATTTGACTGACTAGAATTGTTTTGGTAATTAGAGATAGGTGTGGGAGTAACAGAAACTTGCGTTTCCGAGCTATTAACTTTCGAGGTGGAATTGGTTGAAGAAACTTCCGACTCTTTGATAGAATTTACTGGCGCAACAACTTCTGGCTTTACATCGGTGAGATAGACGGTTTCCAGAGGTTTTGGTTTGAGATCATTTGATTCGTCCAACCCGTGCGCATTACTGTCATTCGAAGCTTCAACAAATTCTACCTCGTCATTTGCAATTGAAAACTTTTCAGTTGGTTTCCCAAAATCGTCACTGGCAGACGATTCTTTAGGATTACTGGGATTTTGTTCTGCCTCAGTGTATTTGTCACTCATCACTTCGTTTTTCATTTTTGAAGTTGACGATACTGATGGTGATGTAGAGGTGACATTAAAATCTTTGGAGCCTTTGTTTTCGTTTGCAACCATTTTGACATCCATATCACTCAATTCATGTAAACCCGTGCTCCCTTCATTTTCTAAACTGTCCGTTTCCTCCGTAACTTTTTCATTACCATCAGGGTTTGTAACGTCTTCTTTCATTTTTTCATCATTCCTATTACTATTGGCAGGGTTTTTGTCATTTGTACTTATTCTAATAGTGTTCGCTTCTTCTGTGGAAACTGTCTTGTTTAGAGTCAAATTTGTGGAAGGCACTTGGTCAATGACTCTGCTGCTATTGAATGAGTCTTTGAAGGCACTGATGGTGCTTGGCGAGCTGCTCACAACACTAGCATATTTCAAGGTGTCAGGGGCAAAAGTTGTCACTTCCATTTCATCTTCCATCATTGTGGTCATGTCTGAAACATTTTCCAATTTTATAATTAGGTTGTTTAATGACACTGGAAGTAATTCTATTTTAATCTTGACTAGGTCAGTTTTGAGACCAACTATCAGAAAATTTATATTAGAAACAATAAAATCATAAGAAATTAAGATGAGTAGACAATTAAATGATTTTGTTACTTGGCATGCTTGTCTATTTTTGATTTTCCACCTTTCATTTTCTACAGGAGATAGTGCCTAAATGATGAGCACCGAAAATTTACGACAAAAATGGATAGAAGTAAATTACCTCGATTAACCAAAGCTCCAGTAATTTGGATAAGAACTGTGTCTGCAACTTAATAAATTATGTTACTTCGATAAAACTTTGGGGGACCTATCCCCCTTGAAATTTGCTCCAAGGGAAAAAATACTACAGAGTAAGAGAGGTTCATTATGACCTATAATATTGGCCCTATCCTTTGATGTGTTAAAACCAAATGGCATTATGTTCTCCTTGACCCCCTCCCCCAGAGCGTAATGAACTTTAAAAACGGCCACTTTCCATTGTCCTGAACAACTTGAGTTTCCACCTCAAATGTCTTTTCAGATTCCATCAAGTATATGTATTGTGATGCTTGATTTTTTATCCTGAAAGATGATTATTGAGGTTGATGGACGAAGTGATGGACAAGAAAGACAATGAAGAGAAAATTGAGCGCTCCTAATGGTGGAAGCGGGTGGTTGCGATGGACAAAAGAGGTGAGTAATAGATAAACTAACCACCACCCATGAGAGACCCTGCGGTTAGTCCATCATTTTATTCCTTAGTCTATAGCAACCATCCTTTTCAACCGAAAAGATCGCTCCATATTCCCTTAGTCCTAAGTCGATAGACCTAGGTCTGTCCGTTAGGAGAGTTGAGTGTGATAATCTCTGCAAAACCAAGGGCGAGGGCTGTTTGCGTTGCCAACAGATTCCTCCGATTCTACCACTCTGCTGTTCCCCCGATCCAATTACATAGGGCTTAAGCAGATCGGGGAGATCGCGAAGGAGTAATGCAACGGGGCAGTGCAAATCAGGGAAACGTTTGAAAAGAAGTGAAACACAAGGGAATCCATCGCCAGATCGGGACATTCCAAAGAACATCTAGCTAACACACTAACCTAGGTCTATCGACCTTGGCTTAGTCTTCTTTGTCTATAAATTTAAATAATCAGCCCACTGTCCAGCGGCCCGTTTATTGAAATTGATAGACAAAGCTATAGACAAAGAAGGCAAAAGAGATATGGAGGGATCCTATTGGTGGAAGCGGGTGGTTGCAATGGACAAAGGAGGTAGGTAATACACTAACTAACGGCAACCCACGAGAGACTCGACAGTTAGTCCATCATTCTCTCCCTTAGTCTATAAGAGCCACCCGTCTCATCCAATAGGATCGCTCCTTACTCTCTATGTCTTCTTTGTCTATCGATTTGTCTTTTTTTTTTTTTTTTTTTTTTT